TCATGCATCCCAAGCTAAGGACTTGCAAGCACTCCGCTACGTCGAGCCCAACCCGACAGCCTCCACAAATTTCTGGGATATCATCAATTCCGCTGTTCTTCGCGGCCGCTTTGCGGAGGCAGCCGAGATTCTTCGATCTGCCGATTTCAACTACGCGCGATCGGCGCTCGAGGACGGCCTGCCACAGCCGGGCTACCGCGGTGTTCAATTACAGAATATTCAGCGCTGCGTGAACAAAGCGCTTTCAATTTTGGACTCTTGCCCGGGCTTCCAAGATGACGACTGGGACATAACCGGTCCTGACTGGAACCAGTACCGCAAGCAGGTCCTTGCTGCGGTCAACGATCTAGAGGACTTCGCCGAGGGCGAGGAGAGAGATCAACCCAATCCTCCCCTGCAAGAGAACCGTGGCTTCCAGGCCGTCAACTTTGGCCTGGCAAACTTCGGGCAGAAGCCAATCTCCTTCAGCCAATCTGCGCGCATGGCCGAGAGCCGTGTTCCTTGGAGCATCTACCAAAGCCTGCGAACTCTTTACCGCATCATTCTCGGTGACCCGGCCACTATCAAGGCCCAGTCCCAAGATTGGGTGGAGGCAACTATCGGTTTGACTGCCTGGTGGGATGGCGAGGATGACGAAGGTACACCTGGAATTGACTTCCGCACCAGCACATCGAGCAACGACTTTAGGCGCTCGCGCGGTTCTCGAAGCCAAATTCGTTCTGTAGATCGCAACACACGGGATGCCTATCTCCGACGCCTGGATCTTGCTTTCGGCAGCGCAACCAACGAGCCATCTGACAACACCGGATTCCGGGTGAACACCATGAATAGTGTTGAAGTTGGTCTGGCCAATGTGTTTGAGGGTAATGTGCAGGGTGTTGTTGAGTTGATGCAGTCCTGGTCGCAGTGTGTTGCTTCTGCTGTCACAGAAGTTTCCTGCCTCGGTGGCTGGTTCACCTCTGCTGAGAACTCGAAGAAGATGCCTGGTTTGACTGAGAATGATTTGATGGTTTTATCCTACGGACAGGATAACGGGCCGACTACTCACAAGCTCAACCGGGTTGATATTATGTGCGATTATGCCTTTGGTTTGAACGATCGGGGTTCGATCGAGAATGAAACTGGCACTCGGGAGGGCTGGGAGATGGCCTTAGAAGTGTTGAGTCGTCTTGATGATGCTAGCGCGACGAAAAAAGCTGTGTCTGAGATTGTGGATAAGTTGCCGCTGGATAATGTGGCACAGATGGACAAGTTGGTCATGCTGTGCTCGGATTTGGGACTTGAAGATACGGGACGAAAGATCTCCGAGGTATGTTTCTTGAAGCCGACAGAAAACAAATGCTAATGATCTCAGCGATTTGGTGACTCGAATGCAGCCAAGTCCGATAGCTTCGGGCTTGCACTCATTTGCTATGCGCGTGCTCACAACCGCCGCAAGGTGAAATCCGTCGTGGATCTCTTGATCTCCTACAGCTTGGTTCAGTCTCGTGCATACCCTGCGACGGCCGACTTGGACGCCAACCTTCGATCTTTGATCAAAGATCCCAAGGCGTGTTTGACATCCATTGCATCCATTGACGAAGACGCCGCTGCAATCCTTCAGTTCTACCTCAGTGGTTACGCAACCTTGCGCCGGTACTACGAGATCCGCGACGAGGCCCTGGACCTAGAGGAAGGCCAGCAACCCCGCTTCAAGCCTCTTGCCCGACGTCGCGCAGCCGCCAAGGCACTCACAGCCGTGGTGAGCAGCGCCGCAGACAACATTTACGGAGGCCTCTTCGATCCCAGCCGCGACTCCGCTGTGCAAGTCGACGGACTCCTCGCACTCCTGGGCGAAACCCTTATCTTCGTCAACCGTAAGTACGACCCGATATGCGCTCGGAACCCGAATATTGACGGACACCCAGAACCCACCCCGATCCTCACCGTCTCCCAACAATTCACCATCCTCTCCGCGATCGAGGATTTGGAAACAGTGACACCCCGCGTCTTCGCGCAGTGTGAAGAATGCTTCCGTTCCACTTTGCTAGGCTACAACAACGTCCCCGAAGGCGCCCCCCTCTCACCAAATACCATCCTCAAGAAATCCATATCCAACCTCTCAGCGTCAACATTCTCTCTCATTGGAAACGAGCTGTTTTCAGGTCCCACCTCAGCTGGCAGCTCAGGAGTCCTTGTCCCTCGACCCGGTGACAAGGACTTGGGCCGAGCCCGGGGATGGGACTGGCGTACCGGTCTGCCGGAGAGCACCAGGGGCGAGGACGTGCTAAGGATGCTTCGATTGGGTCTGGCTAGGGGCTTGAGCTTTGGGTCATTGGGGGCCGTTTAGAGTCGAGCTGAAATGGGCCTAAGGGCTTGTATGATTAGTGGAATTTGTGAGACATAGCATTAGCATAATGTCTGTTCAGGGATCCTGAATGTGTGTTGGTCTTGTGGTAGATGTGTAGATCGTAATTTAGGCCACGGAATGGATGATCAGGATCGTCATTTTGTTCTGTCAGTAGGCTAAGGTCCCCAGGCCCTGTGGTAACAGGCCGCACATGTCTACGGGGTGGCTAAGTGAAGACACTAGTTCGTGATAGAGTCATAAAACATCAAGACAGAACAGGTCAGGTGCTCGGCTGTTTCATAGTTTAACATTCCCGGTTTGTCTCCAGTGGATCTCAGCCCTATGGCTCCAGTTTCCAAGATTCACGCGAATCGTGCGTCAGCAGCTGAACGTGGGAGCCTAATCTCCACCAGAAAGTCCCAAGATGAACACCGAACATCCCTAGGACACCGCCAGATATCGAAGTGAATAACCACGGGAATCAGAAACCACTATAGTCAAGAAACTAAGCAAGACGGTGTAGAAAGAGTGACAATGAGGCGCAGTTGCGGGAACACAACGCCCGATCCCCATCACCATTCAATCCGACTGGACTCTGGACGAAGTGGACCCGCCTCAGCCTCGCGCGCCTGCCCCTCACCGAACGCCGCGTATTCCAAGCTCCTTATTTCCCGCTTGCTTTACTGTAGAGCCTCTGACGTGAGGTACCATGACTCTGACTGACCATGACCATGATTATGACTCCTCCCCGGCACTAACGCACTAACCTAGTGTAGGTAGCCAAGCTCCATCTACCGGGACCCCCGAAACCTCAAAGTTTCTGCTTCTAAATGGAGAACACGGATCAGGCCAAGTGGATCGGCATAGCTCGTATTGGTTGAAGTCTTTCGGTGATTTCCGTTAGTTTCTGCCTGGGGCTCTCATAGGGCTGGACGTTGCGGGATGCCTTGCAGCTGCTTCTGTGGATCTGCAATTCCTCACGCCCATGTCACCGAGGGGCTTCTTTCTCTTCGTTTCTTTATATATTGTCCGCCCGGCTCGGGGTTCTCTTCAGCACTTCACTTCAGCACTTCAGCACTTCAGCGCCTTCATTCCCTTATTGCATTCACACGGGCTGGATCTCGACCTCGATCTCGCTCTTTTTCAGCATTAATATTCCCCCACATTTCACCATTTCATTTCATTCCTGCTCCCGATCGCGTAACCATTCCACCATATCATCACCATCACTATCACCATTGCCAATCTCATTCTCACTCACTCCTAGAAGGAGAGAGACATTCGAAATGTGCTACAAAGTCGTCGAACGCTACTCTGTCTGCAAATGTATCTACCACCAACACTCAATCGATCCCTGCTCTGCATACGGTCAGCGCGGCCACGCCGTGCAGGAAAAGACCGTGCTTGTAGGCTATGCGTGCTCGAGGCATTCTGCTAGGGGGTCGAGTTCTTCGCCTGACGCTGGTCGTTGGCCGGATTCCGGGTATGAGAGTTCGAAATCTTTTCGTTAGACGATGATTCTGGGCTCTGTGGATGGAGGGTGTGGCTGGTTGGCTGGGTTGTTCTCTGGAGTATGACTTGGCTTGGCTTGACTATGGGTTGCGGGCTTTGTGCGTGGATAATGGGTGAGTGTATGGATCTCTCCTTGATGGAGAGTCCATCAGGAGCACGCTTGTGTTCTCTTCTTGATGAAGAGCAGGACGAAGAACTGAACAGATGGTACGAATGATGGATAACGAGAACGAGCGACGTCTACAATTCCAGATCGAGATCTCTGCCGGGCGCGGAGGTCGTGGAATAGAATGATCTGGTTCTCCGGTAGAACTATGAGTGATGGAAGCAATGTATACTACATGGACATTTCACTCTAGAGCGTGTTCTTTATGTTTTGCGTTTTGCGCCTCGCAGACTGGTTCTGCATCTTTGCATGTGAGTGAGGAGTATGATGCTAGTTCGATATGATATTTTGGAACTTGTTACCGATGGTCAATGTGAGGTATGACGCTGTAGATTATATTTAGTACAGAGCTTCAATTGCTTTCCCGAGTACCTTGGGGGGTTAGACATAAGGATCTCCATTAAAACTAAGACCTCTTCATGGCTTGGCTGAAAAGCCACTGTATTCTATCTTTATGGACATCTTTCTGTCGTATCGCCTGTTCCTTCGAATATAACGGCTAAATCAGCAGATTCAAAGAAGACACAACACGACTCCTTTGACCCTGGCCGAACTGAGCCAGTGGTTTCTGTAGGACAGGGCTTTTTTTTTCTTCTTCGAGGCTTGAACAGAGAGCATAGGAAATGAAGAAATTCGGAAAGGGAGAAAGATACCACGAGTGATTGGGCGTTAGCATTCCCGGCGTTCGGGCTGATGGCCGCAGACTTGGCATGCAATGAGGATCACCTACACTCTACTCCGTCCTCAATCAACCAACGATACTCAGACCTATGGAACACACCTATTTACAGCATCTATATTGACAAACAATTAAATTTACGAGTTACAAATCCCCACAATGCTTCAAGATTCCAATTCGCTAACAGTCTCCCACATGGCACCCACCCCACCCGCCCGGAAAAGCCGAGCCCAGATCCGGGGAATTGCCGGCTATAAATTCCCCCACATCCCATGAACCTCAAACACAAATCACTTCAACATTGAATTGTCAACATGTCTCTCAACCCCATAACAGTCCTATACAAGGAGGTCAATGGCAGCAAAATCAGCACAGACATCTACCTGCCCGCGACCGCATCTTCTGAGAAGAAGCTATTCCCCGTCAGTGAGTTCACACCTGCAGTACACCCCGCAGAGCTACAGACACTAACCATAACAGTAATCAACATCCATGGCGGCGCTTTTATGCTCGGCCATTCGCGCATGGTCTCCATGCCGCAGATCACAGACTGCCTTGAGCGCGGCTGGATCGTGCTGGTCCCCAACCACCGCCTTTGCCCTGGTGTGAACTTGCTCGAGGGACCGATGCGGGATATCCGGGATCTGCTCGCGTGGGTGCATGATGGACACCTCGATGCGGTTCTGCAAGAGCAAGGTCCGTATGGCGCAGACTTGGACAACATCGCAGCATTCGGAACATCAAGTGGTGGGCATTTGGCGATGTCGCTGGTATGTTATTTCCTCTTTGCTCGGGTCGCTCAGGCTTTAGGTCAGAAGAACTAATTGAAGTAGGGCTGGAATACTCCCAAACCACCCAAGGCAATCCTATCACTATACGGCGCTGTGCATTTCACGCATCCATTCTGGAGAAAGCAACTTCCCCACGTGCAGGCCAAATTACCACCTAACCTCGATTCCTCATTCTTAAATAAGATCTACAACGAGGTCCCCGTTCCAACAGATAGTTCCGTCTCGCTGGAGGGACAATCCGAGTCCGGTGGCTCAAAGGGCCCGGACTTCTCCCGCTCCCGCGACGCATTCGCTTTTACGCAAATCGCGTCCGGTAATGTATTGTCTGCTATCTACCCCGACTCGGAAACGAAGGATCCTACTTTCAACTCTGTGGATCCGCTGCAGAATGTTACCTCGGAGTTCCCGCCAATTTATATTGTGCACGGACAGGCTGACACCATGGTGCCGATTGATTTGAGTCGTGAGCTTTTTGCTAAATTGAAGAAGGAGGGCGTTAAGTGCGGAATGACGGAGGTTCCGGATGAGGAGCACACTTTTGCTAATATGATGAAGGTTGGTTCGAGGACTTGGTGGTTGCAGAGGGAGGGATTTGATTTCTTGGAGGGTATTGTTGGGAAGGGGCCTCAATGATCGTTTAGTAATAGAACTCGTTAGTGTAGTATTTCCACGATCTCTAGCATTATTCTTTTTGAAGATCGAAACTTTATACCACGGTCATCAATATCAAATGCCGATTTCATTCCCACGCACTGGTAGTTTCCCAGCCTTGCATATATTAGGCCTCTACTTTCTTTTGCCCATCATTTGGTTCTCTTTCCCCTCCTTACCTATTCATTATATGATCATCTAGATACCCTAATGACACACCTTCCTTGAATCGGCTCTCGTGCACACAACCGAGCCTCATCGAGCGTTTTAATCAATGGCCACTTTTTCAATGTGCCGCACCGTTGAGTCCCTTAAATAGGCCAGCAACAGCAAAATCTGCTTATCCCTTTGTAAAAGTAGGTGTCATGGACAGGTCACAATACGACTGCGGTGTAGAAAATCGCACAGCACACTTCGGCTTCACAGTCCTGCATGTGCACATTCATATCTATGCGCACTATACGTAGAACGATGAGAGTGTCTTGATTGGCTTGCTATAGAAGTTATGGTCAAATCTCAAGTAGCGCGCTGTAGAACTGCGTCGCTTATTACGGCCCCTTGCGGGCTGTTACTAATCGGCGGGTCACACCAAGAATTGGCGGTCTGTTGATACATATGCGGGCGGTGTTAACTTGTTATTGGCTTTTCACGAACATCCTCAATCCACATTGACTGTCTGGAATTACACGGACTCGGGTCTGTAGAATAGTCTTACAGGATGCGCCTGGAAGTGCGCCTAGTCAGGCAATAACTGAGTATTCTCCTCCATGCAGGATGGTTGTCCTTTATGACACTGATAGGTAGATTGAAGTATTCTTGAACGGATAGGTTCCAAGAAAAAGTAATAATCAAGTAACTTATCATTCAATTGCCCAAGTATCATATGTCAGAGTACTTGTACTTAGACATGGGCAGGTCCGCGGGTTGGGCCAAGAACTCAGCCCACGGCCTAACCCACTTGAAATTTACAAAACCGAACCCAACCTCTGGCTTCAGTATATGTGGAGAGGCTGGATAGAGACTAATCACCTCTATCGACTCCTATACATACTTTTGATATATGTTCTTGAGAAAGACATATCACTGGACCTTGATCTAGAGGCTGTCAAGCTGCAAATTGACAGCCTTCCTTTGAAAGTCTTCCGCAGCCATTCTGTAATATCCTTGAGGGCATCGTTGTCACGCTCGCCCTGCACGAATTGGGCGGTGAAAACCATCTTCTGGCATTCTTATTTTGTCTCCCTTTAGTTATCTGGATCGTCGGGAATGTCATCACTCCGGGTAATGGCGGCCGATTTTATGCCAAAATCACTTTTTCATATCATGTGCAAGCATCGTGAACCAACTGTTCGATCATAGCACGCTAGGGGCATTTATGAGAAGGTCGGCGACAGCCTAGTATTCCACCTAGCGAGAAGAATAGTTAGTCGAAAACCCAGTTTTCAAAAAAGCGTCACGGTGCAATAGGCGAGCCTCCCCGCTCGATCTTGTCAGTTTAAAATCCCACTCTACTATGGATCCTATCGAGAAACCCCCCCAATTAGCCCCGGTTGTTCGATGTACCGGATTTCCTCTACACCGCCTGGCGTTCCTGGCGCCCCCACAGAAAACTTAGTTATCCCACTTTTTTTTTCTTTCTTTCTCCAGAGATCAACATGAGGGTAATATCTCTGTCTTGGGTAGATAGGCAGACCGCTGTTAGATAGCGATCACTTGAATCGGCGTAAACGATGTGCCCAGTGATCTTTTTAGTCTGAGAGGGATATCGGATCCCACCTGGCGCAGTTTCACGCCACCGCCAACTGTGGGCGCGGGGTGCCTGAGAAAAAATATCCCCTGGGCGGGCCGAGACCGAAACCACAACATGCCACCCCAACGGTTGAACAACGGTTGAACGTCGGTAGCACTGTGCCTCAGAATGCACAGTCCAACAAATGACGGTATGCGGTCTTCTCCGCATCCCCGGAATGGCCAAGCCTCTACGTGCCGGTGCAGATGCCGGCTAATTGACTGAAAACCTCCTTGTCCGAAGCATACGGGGGTCTTTTTCCACCTCGTGATCCCGAACCGACCCCTGACGCAATAAATCGGACCGACCAGCCAAACATAAGCCAATCCCGGGAACCAGAGTGGGAGAAAAGCCTGCCGTGGCGTTCTCAACCCCGACGTACCCCGACTGCCAAGGGCAAAACCCCACTGGGGCACCCGCTTCGTAGGGTAATTCTCGCGTGGGGGTCACCCAATTCCGGAGGCACGAGGACTAGTGCGTTTAGTAGTGTGGGGGGCCAATCTTGCAACCTTTGTCATAAGAATGTAGAAAAACCCTTTCCCCGGAATTCCTCTCGTGAGAATTTGGCCTGGTTGAAGAGACAATCCACAATGGCGGACGATATTTCACGACACAATAAGGATCTGGGGGTCGAGTATGAGAAGGAGAGAGTTGAGAATCTCGAGCATGTGGCTGAACAACAGAACCTGGTTCCTCACATCGATCCGGCTCGTCGGATCGTTGTCGAGAAGAGCCTGAAGCGCAAGCTTGATGCTCGGTGCAGTCTGTTCGTTTTGATCTATATTATGAATTACCTCGACCGCAACAACATCTCGGCGGCTCGTCTGAAGGGTCTGCAAACCGACCTCAACCTCACCAACAACCAGTACTCAACATGTCTGAGTATTCTGTACGTCGGCTACATCTTGATGCAAGTGCCTTCCAACATGTTCATCAACCGGATCTCGCGGCCATCGTGGTACATTGCCGTCGCCATGACCCTCTGGGGTATCATCTCCACATGCTCCGGATTCGCCAAAAGCTTCGGCGACATGGTGGCTATTCGGTTCTTGCTGGGTTTCGTTGAGGCTGCCTTCCTTCCTGGTGCCCTCCTCATTCTCTCCAAGTGGTACACCCGCAGGGAGTTGACCACCCGGAACGCAATCCTGTTCTGTGGTAACCTCATTTCGAACGCATTCTCGTCGCTCGTTGCTGCTGGAGTCTTGTCCAACATGCAAGGCGTCTTGGGCCACGCAGCTTGGCGCTGGCTTTTCTGGATCGAAGGTTCCATCACCATGGTCATTGCCATCTCCGCTGGCTTTATCTTGCCTGACTTGCCTACCAACTCGAGCGGCTTCACCGAGGAAGAGCGTCTCGTTGCCCAGCTTCGTATCATTGAAGATGTCGGCGAGGCCGATACTGATTCTGAGGAACAGAGTCCCTTCAGTGGTCTCATGATGGCCTTGAAGGATTTCAAGATCTACATTATGATGCTGGCTTTCACTGCGTACGTCGTGGGATTGTCATTCAACGCTTTCTTCGTAAGTATCATCCTTTGCTACAACCATGGCATATACCAGCCACTAACTACTTCTCCTCATAGCCCACCCTCACCGGCACCCTCGGCTTCAGTTACGTCCCCACTCTGCTCATGAGTGCTCCCCCGTGGGTCTTCTCCTGTATCTTCTCCGTTGTCAACGCCTGGCACGCCGATAGAACCCAAGAAAAGGTAATTTTCCGTCCCATCGCCCACATTAAACCAACAAATCCAGCTAACAACCCTTAGATCTGGCACATTTACGGTCCAATCTTCATGGGTCTCGTCGGCTTCATCATTAGCATGTCAACCTTGAACGTAGCAGCCCGCTACGTCGCCCTCTTCCTGCAGGCAGGATCCTACGCGGGTTTCATCGTCTTCTACTCCTGGATCAGTTCCTCCTTCCCTCGACCGCCCGCCAAGCGGGCCGTCGCTCTGGCAATCATCAACGCCTTCAGTCAACTGGGTAACGTTGCCGGTTCATACGTCTGGGACCTCTCTGAAAACGGCTATCGCAAGAGTTACGGAATTGTGACGGCCATGTACGGCATTACCATTGTCGGATTCTGGATCTTCCGCATGATTCTCATGAACTTGAACAAGAAACTCGAGGAGAGTGAGGCTGAGTGGGATGCTGGACATACCGATCCCCAGACTGGGGCTACTGTGATCATGGAGAGTGCTGATGAGTCGCTGCGCATGCGCAAGGGCTTCAGATATCTGGTCTAAAGTGCTGGGCTGCTTCGATCAGGGTATTTCCTGGATAAGACTTGGCGGTGTTCCAATTCTCTTGCTTCCGTAATCGCGGATGACCAAGACGGGGTCTCCAGTTCACTTAGCAACTGTGTTCACACGAGAGCAGCGATGACGAGTCGTGTTGTATTGTGATTATATCTTTTATTTTTAGAAATGACATATTATGAGAAGCTTGAAATCATTCTACTGCCCTCCTTACGTTTCGTTCACGAGCATTACAGTTTCGTATGTTGCAAAAGCGACTGCACAGCATAAAAGCACGGGTACTTATTTATTCTTCTTCTGGGCTCCTTCAACTTGGTTTGCAACCTTGCTAACCAGACAATGATGGGGTAGTTATGGCGTTTCTATGCCCCCAGGGAGGATTCCCTTTGGCAAGCTGCTATCAAGAATGCGAGTCCTAATGAGGCGCTCACCATAATTAAGAGGGTAAGCCACATCCATAACGTTAGATTCTGATAGGGAGCTGATGCTAGAAAAAACTAGGTGATCACAGTATTCAGTTATTTAAACGACCCGAGGTCTGGGGACGACTCAAGACCACCAACAAATTGATCCGACAGGAATTAAAACTTACACAAGACGCATACAACAAAGCCAATAGAAAAAATACACAAATCTTAGATTGTTGGGATGAATGGTTTACGGGTCGTCTGGATCGGGTAGTCGAGCATGCTGTTAAATGGCTCACAGATACACTGAACGACATGGACGGCGAATGGACTGGAAAGAAGGGCAAGCTCAGGGCCTAGGTGATTCGTATCGTGAAAAGCCTTCGGACTCAAATAGGCAAGAAAGTTAAGCTCAATACCTAAGACCTAATCTGAGCATTTGATTGAATATATCGTATCACAGGGCTGCTATGAAAAAAAAAACAGAGCGCGAGCTGTGTACTATAAGATCTCGGGAGGAATTGTTCGAAATACATACAAGATAAACTAGTAGATAAATGTATTAGTGCACCTGTACTTAAGAAGTCATAAAAGAGCAAATCGGTTATCTCTCAAAAGTCATTAAACCAGAGAATATCCTCCGGTGAATCCATATCAGTAGACATATGAGATATAGGTATTACGTCGCCGTTATATGCGAGTCGGAACAGCCTATTTAGATAAATGTGCATAAATCCCGGGTAGAAGCGCTCCGAATATTGATTCGTTGCCTTCCAGTCGGGGTCTATAACCGTCACCTAAGCGCCGTTTTTCTCTTTCGTATCCGGCTCATCCTGGATGTAGGTTCCTGCAGGCTCGGGGTGGCGAATAAAGGATTGTAGAGCCACCTGATCAATCACCAAGCACCAACGAAAGCGATTACCTAGAGGTGCGGGCTCGTTGTTGACAAAGGCTTTGAAATGTTCCCGGATTTGGGAAATAGTGGCCCCATCAAAACGAGCCTTATCCTCGAACACAAGGCTGCGGTACCCCTCGCGGACTAGCCGATGTGAATGCCTGTCCTGGCGCCTTCCGTTCTTCAGCTGCCAGTCTAGAGTGGCAAAAATGTTTGCTCGAATCGCATCAGCGGCGGCCTCCCAGTGAAGGTCAGACTCGGGGGTGTAGACAGTGCGATAGATAGTGTAGCCCCAAGGCCAGCGGTGAGTTATCTCTTGCTTAAGAAGTGTTGTCGCTTCACATCGGGGCGCCATGAACCAATGCTCGATATTCCACTGACGTATTTTTCGCAGGTGGTCGAATTCAGTCTCACTGGCGGGGAAATCCTCGGACGACCATGGCGTGTCCCAGCTCTCATGATGGAACCTCCAATTCCATTCGACACAGTCGGGGCCGTAGTTGTGACATTATGGAGGAAGCTCGAGGTTGTGAAACATAGAGCTCGACAGGTCCCAAAGGAATGTATATGGGGATTCTAGATTACTTAAGTAATAAACATGAAGGATAATTGTATCTCCGGTCCACCGCGGTATCCGTATTGACATGGAACGATGGACCCAGGCACCAGGCGCGGCCAACACGAGGCACGGGTGGCAGTAAGTCGGGTCGGTCGTGGCCTTTGATACACGTGACGCCAAGACCGCCCACGGTGAGCGAGCGGCCTAAAACGGCGTCAAAAGCGGCCGTTTCTGGCCTCCCATTCACCGTCTCATCCTTATGTGTAGTTATAAGATAATATATTGCCAGCGATCTTATACTGGTGATAGCGTTAGCTTCGCCCCACAATCCCTAATAGTTGCAGCGGTCAAAATTTTAAGGCCATACCTAGTTCCTCCTGAATAAAGAATAAAGAATAAAGAAACGAAGCGGCAGCCTATTTGTGATTCTAATAAGTGAACGTTCCCATCTCCATTTTTGTGAGTCAAAGTTTGAGGACGCTAGAGGTCACTTTTTGGTTTGGAATACGAATAACGTATATGTTATTTGCGATTTGAGTTAGGGTAATTAATTGCACAAACGGCACTGACTGACTGCTGCATGGCCTCGATTCTTGAGGTGGCGTGGCTGACTTCTTCTTGATCTACTTCGAATGCAATCACTTTTTCCTGCCGACGACCCGATATGAGACAAATCCCACTGAAAGCGAAACGATATAACACGCGTCAGCTATTATCGTAATCTACCACTGATCTGATCACTCCAAAACACCACAACGCAATTCCCACTATGCGCTAAAAAGCGTTTATACTGCCACAATTAGATGCGCATTCCTTGTCTATATACATATGGTGTAACAACAGAACTATGTATTCATCCACCGATCGATCCATAATCTAGGGATATCTTTGCTATTTCAGTTCCCGTAGCTTCAGCTGCGGCCGGTGAACCTATGACCACAGGAAGTTGAGTCTCGCAAGTCCCTTCTTCCGTGTCGTTTCAGGTTCGAGGTTGTCTTGGCTAAGGTAGAATTGCATCAAGCCGACAATCGGAATATTCGCCAAACCGAGGATGCGTGTTTTCTTCCAGCCCTTATAGCCAAAGTATAGAGCCAGAAAGATTGGAACGTTGATGTACGACGAAATGAATGACTTGGTACTCCAGTGGCCATGGATAAACGTGCTGAAACCTCCTGTGAGAATTAAAAGGAGGATCAGCACAAGCGAAGCCCAGGTCAAGTAAGGTTGAAAAGGCGCAGCCCACGGAAGCTCTCTGTGGCGGTCAATCCCCTGCTTCTTGCAACCGTAGTAGAATCGGAGGTATACGACACAGATAATTCCCCAGTCCACCAAAGTCGAGATCGCCACAAGGGCCTGCAACCAGCCAAAGACTGTGTTTGCTGACTTGGAGACGACCATATACCCCAAGCACATAAAGACCCCGAAGAAGCTGATGGCCATATAAGGCACACTGAATCGGTTCAGCCGGGCGAAGACAGCAGGAGCATGTCCCTGGATTGCCATGCCAAAGAGGATTCGGGAGCCGTAAAGGATAAATGAATTTCCAGCTGACCAGGCCGAAGTGAGTATAGCGGCATTAATAATCGAGGGTGCATCGTGTATCCCTGCCCGATGAGCGGCAATAACGAACGGGGATTGGGAAGCTGTGCCGGTTACATGAAGGAGGTTTGGGTCATTAGAAGGAATAACCAAACCAGCCATGAATATGGACAGAACATAGAAGACAAAGACGCGGACCAGGATGCGCTTTGTTGCCTTTGGGATGGCGTGCCTTGGAGATCTCGTCTCAGCTCCAGCAACGGTTATGTTTTGAGCTCCTGCGTATGCAAACACTGCATTGTTCAGAGTTGACCAGAAGCCGAGAAATCGACCCAATGTACCCTTGATGCCAAGATACTGAACGAAGGGCCCTGGGTCTTTCCAGTATCTGAATCCAATCGATTGGCCATTTGGTCCTCCACCACATGTAATCACAAGGGCCATAATATTTAGTCCAATGATTAGTAAGATTTTCAGCATTGCAAATGCAAACTCAAGCTCTCCGTAGATTCTGATGAACAATAATGCAGTGACGAGTATCAGCATGCCGAAAACAGTGATCCATATTGCGCTGCTGACAGTAATCCAAAATTCAACTAAGATCGAAGCTGCCACAATCTCAGCAGGGATAGTCACCAAGTAGGAGAATACTTGATTCCATCCATTAGCGAACGACATGGCAGGGTCGAAGAAGAGTTCTGCATATCGGACAAGACCTCCACTGAGAGGCACTAAAGTGCCCATCTCTCCAGTAGTGAGGACAACACTGCAGACAACAAGCCCAATAACAGTATACCCAAGGAAGGCACCTAGGGGCCCTCCCATTGCGAGTGCTTCGCCAGAGTTGAGGAATAGTCCTGAGCCGACTGTGCCGGCCAAACCAATCATCTGAATGTGCCGCTGGTGAAGGCCCTGCTTTAAAGTATATCTTTCGTTGAATCTTTGCGCAATATCATCCGTTTCATTATCAAATACTGGAGAGACGGCTTCTTCTGTAAGAGGAATATCTGAGCCTATCTGAGACGACATGGTTGTAGATATTGCCAAGTGAAACAAGTTGACAGGGGCCAAGATGTCAGCTATGAGTCGGCGGGGGTGGCTTAAAACGGCTTTCTGCCCCTTCGCCATTCGATACGTCACATGTAGTGTTCTAGGCTTTGAGGGCTGCCACATAAATTAACCACGGGATACGGAAGACGACGGAGGGGTTCGGGTCAAAGCCTCAGAACCAATGATTTGACTCACCGCTTTAAGTGCCGCCGAACTGACCGCCCAGGTCCACACCCACCAATCATATTTTTACAACAATTAATCATGCTTTTTTTTTATTTGTCCTTATCCTTTATAGCGCGTCTACTTTCCGTCACCTCTACAGTATCTAACTCTCCGAACACTTATAGTAGATCAAGAACAGCACGCACTTATAAGCCAGGTCATACTAGGTAAAAGCACCCTTTAATGGGATCACTTTAAGATGGTGTTGCTGCCGTGAGGTTAGAATGCATAGGGGAAATATATAGGATTGTAATCAGCTATTGCTCTGGCTAAGCTAACATAATTATTTAGTCTATTATGAAAGACAGTTTGAGAACTATTCTCTATGAGTGGCTAGTACAACTGATCTCGATCTATCCTATACCAGCTACGATAGTAGAAATGGCCTATTCTATCTCTTACTTATCGTATCTTTCGGGACTATCCTTACTGATCTAACGGCTTTTTCGTTTAATTCAATTTAAACGCGGCTCTTCAATCGAGTGAGTATCATAGAAATGCGTGGAAACAGAATTTGAATAATTGCCAGACTGGTACCTGCAAAAAGTTGGAAAGAAAACAGAGAAATATCAAAGAGATGCTCTTCGTTCTTTTCCACCCTTTCAAAGGTTTGAGAGAGGATAGTAAGAACAGAAAGCAGTAACCCCCTGAGACTAGCGGTATATAACTTGACTGGGTTGTCAATCCTATGTAAATCAAAGCTATGTATTAATAGAATAGGCTTGACGTTGGGTTAGCAACGGTTCCACGATAATGGGGACTTTGGAAGAGCGTGCCCACAGAAGCTTAGCCAAGAAAATGGGCTTATGCCAAGATATATTTTCTTTTGCATACTCGCCACCTAAGGCGACTGCGCCAACCCCCAACAGCGATAAGAAGGAAGTTCAAGAGCGTAGAGTTTGTACACGGCCCCGATAGAATGCCTCTCATTCTTTTGAAGCAGTACCATTTTCGTCAGAATACATAACTTCGAGAGTCAACTTCAAACTATTAAAAAGCGGGAAAAGGCTTTTCAGGTAAAGAGTACACGTGTATCAGGTATAAGATGCAGAAGGTACCAGCGTCGCCTTTGAGTTCAGAAAATACGAATATTGACGAGAAGGGGCCAAGAAAAGAAAAGGGGAAGGAGAGGGGAGGGGAAGAGCTAGAACGATAAAGAGGCTTGAGATAACTAAATTAGTGTGTACTTCGGGCCAAATCAAATGCGCTTCTGTCACCCCTGCTTTCTCCTTATCTACTTCTCGTGAAATTAAAAAATGAAAGTTCAGGAGAGCTACTTACAAGACACCCTCCCCTGCGCGCTTTCAGCATTCAAAGCCTCATTACTCGATGATCTACTATAAGTAATGTAATTTTACCGTAACTGCTGAGGAACAAATTTGCAAATAGATACTACGATCGAGTCATTCTCGGAATCATCTTTGAGATTTTGATCCATAGTCTCTCTTCTCCTTTGCTCATTCGATAGCCGATGAGCTGTAGACTAGCATACACTGCAGGTTTTCCCCTCTAGAGCCTCCGCAACAGCATAATAAGCCGGCTTGGCCTGAAGAGTGCTATTAAAGAGATCAGCACCACCCTGACCCGCAAAGGTGCCCGGCACCCAAGAATAAGCATCATCAAAGTCCCAAACAACGATACCAACGCAGCGAGGTCCAGCCTGAATACAACTGGTGACACTGGTATAGTAATCAGCGGCTTGTTGCTGCTGAACAGTTGCAGTGTAGTAAGGAGTTTCCGCGAAGCGAATATCAAGCTCAGTAATAACAACATCCAAGTTGGCCTTGATATAAGCTTTCTTGGTGGACAGCTGATCGGCAAGGGAAGGTGTCTCCCCAACAATGAAATGTGACTCCAGACCAACACCATCAATACGAATTTCACGCTTGTGTAGCTCGCTGACAAGTCCGAGAACAGCAGTCGCTTTGGTTCCGGGGTTCTCAATGCCGTAGTCGTTGTAATAGAGCTTCACGTCATGGGCGCCAATCTCCGCCAAAGCCTCCTGAGCATACTTGTAGGCGAGGTAGAAATAGTCCTCCCCAATGGTATCGTACCAGACACTAGACGAAAATGACCCATCGCTATTGAGGGCCTCGTTGACCACGTCCCATGAATAGCAGCGTCGGCCAAAGTGCTGAACAGTTTTGAAGATATGGTTCTTCATCACCAGCGTAAGAGCTTCAGCCGTCCAATTTGTAGACGTGACGAAATCCGAAAGCTGGCTCACCCAGACCAGATTATGACAGCGTACACGAGCATTATACTTTTCAGCCACCTCGAGAAATTCGTCTCCGTCAGTGAAGTTGAACACGTTTTGCTCGGGCTCTGTGTACATGAACTACAAGATTAGGCACGCTTGTTAGCAGGAATCCCTACACAGCTTCTGACTTGATTTTTACCTTCATAGCATTGGCAGGCGTCATCTCGCCAAAGTTCTTCTGCAAAACCTTCAAGTACGCAGCATCGGTCGTCTCAGCCGTTCCAGGGATATCGGCCGCGGTACCGACCCACAACTTTCCATGACGCTGTGCAATGGAATTGAGGTCAATGTCGCCTTTGGGTTGGGAATGAGATTGATGAGGAGCTGCGTGGCTGAGGCAGGCAAGAAGCGCCGTAGCAGCAATGATCGTGCGCATTACGGCGAGATTCTTTGAAGTGAAGGTCAGCTGAAGAAGAATGGCCTTCCAAATAGTCCATAAACAAAAATATTTAAGTAGTTCAATTTAGAGAACGTTCCCCGCAAAACAAACAGCTGACTATTCTAATCTGTGGAGTAATTTCCCCACAGCCTGGAGCCACGGGCTTCCCATAGCTTGCTTGGATGTAAACCGATTTCAGGCAAAAGGTTGGAAAAATCAGGCTATATTCCACCGGGAAAAGGGCCGGGGGCTTCACTAAATTTCACGATTCCCTAGGCAAGAGAGGTCAGGTCGATTAGCCGTTAGTAGCGAGTCTCCGAACTAACACGAGACGAGATTAACAGAACTTAACTTTAGGCTAAATTATAGGAACGATAGAAAGCTAGAGTCGCTGGCCGAGGTTATTACCAGCTCGCTAGGAAGTTGAAATTAGTGACCTGCCTAATTATTAGGGGAGAGAAGGAGGGGGTGTTTGGAAGCGATTGGTCTTGGCCAATTAGGTACTGGACTGCAATTTGGCGGCATACTAAATCCACCTAATTCATAACGGGAAAGGCGCCTGTGTTGACGACTAGAGGCCTACGAAAAGCTTAGAGAAGCGATATTCTTCAGCGCATCGCTAATATGGGGCCCTTTTCCTGCCTGAAGGTGTATCTAGGCTCTTCTTGGACTCTCCTGAGCACGACGGTGCCTGAAAAGGGTAGTTCATGAAAACTCTTCATAGTTTAGAACGCGCATGGATGCAGCAAATTAAGCTTTGAAAGATACTATGCAAAAAGAAATTTAATCATGATTTATCGAAGAAAAGAGCCAATATCAAAGAGTTCAAATCCATTCCATATCCCACTTGACATGCGTGTCAATATCAAGAAGGGTCCTACTGAGCCTTAATCAGATCATTGGTCGATATAAGAAATGAAAGTGCTGAGTCATGGAGACTTCACTTGCAGTCTACAGGCAGCAGAGTCATGACATCCTTGCGAGGCAGAAAGCACGTGGAGTTTGATATCTAGAGATCTACCTTGATCACTGTTCCTAGCTTACAAATGGACATTGCACCAAGAATCCAGGTCATTTCTCATTTCACATGCTAACCATCCACGCTAAGTACGGCATGAATCAAACTCCATGATGAAGATACCGCAAGGCTGCATACCAACCCGGTGGAAGGGGTCTGCAGAGCGGCATTGTCCTTATGGCTTGTACCAAATACAGATGCAGATACAGATACAAGATAAGCTTGTCGTCCACCTGGACTGAGTCCTTGTCCCAAGGATTCGGGTTCAGAATTCAGGGTGGATGGTTGTCTGGTGCATCGGAGGGTCCATCGATGTCTAAATCTCCTGCTCTCCTCACTACCAACACCACCACTCATCACCGAATTATCCTCCCCGCCCAGCCGTGGCGCGAAGCCTTTTCACCCACGGCGGAGGGCCTTTTTTTTTTTATGTTATTTCGAAAGCAAAAGCAAGGATGCATGATGGCCGGTGTATTTCCCTGCGACCAAGACGAAGACCGGGCGTATTTGAATATCCGAATATAATTCCTCCCAAAGATGGATTGGAAAGAAGTAGATCCGGGACGAAAACCATCTAGCGACGGACGACGATACCCTGACGGCGGGCACCGCTGCGGGCACGGCGATACTCCTCATCGCTATCCTCAGACTCGGAGCACGAGGCACCCGAGGACTCGGTGACGTAGCCGCAGCGGCTGCCGCCACAGTCGAGCTTGACGCGGTCACCCTTGCGGGTGATGCCGTAGCGTTCGCAGCGGCACTGCACGGGGGGATCGCTCATGGAGGACAGAGACGAGGGCGAGGTTGAGCCAGAGGAGCGCGAAGACAGCGAGGAACCGGCGGAGCTGGGTGGGGAGTTGCTGTAAGAGTACTCATCGGACAGACGGGAGCCGGCGAAGCGGCGGGTCAGGTCGTCGACGGTAGGAGTGAACTCGGCTTCACGGAGTTGGCGGGAAGCGTAGGGCTTGGACGGCTTGGGGTGCTGGATCTTGGAAGGCGAGAGAGCGCGGCCGGTGGCGACGTTGGTCGAACCACGGCGAGACTTGTGGGAGCTGCGCTCGGACTTGCCACCTGGGACGTCCAGGATGTTGAGCTTGCGGCCGGTGGTGGGCTCGACGGTGTACTCGACGGCGGGGTCATGGCTGACGTGGTACCCATCCATGATGTAGTAGTACCAGTATCGGGCGCCGAGCTGGAGCATCGAGGTTTGGAAGCGGAACTTGCCATTCCAGGCACCGGGCTTCTCTTCAGCGGAGAGGGGCAGCTGGCGAGAGTAGTTGTCCCAGGATCCGACGAGGTGGACGGTCTTGACATTGGACGAGGTCCGCAGGGAGAACTTGAGTTGAACTGCGGCCATTGTGATTAAAGATGCGAATCACAGAAAAATAAGGTTGTCGTAGACGTATAGCGTAAAGCGTAAAGAGTAAATTGGCGATAAACAACAGAAACTACCAGAGTTCAGTTGTCAGATTGAATGATTCACTCTTGAAGATGGAAACCGGTTCCACGACAACGAGAATATAAAGAATATATCCGAGCGAGATTAGATTAAGAAGATTTGTTGATAGAGCTGAGACAGCAAGGCAGACGTCGACCGGCGACGAAATATTGCTGTAGTTGAAAAGTAGTCGAGTAGAAATCCGAGCAAGGCAGAATAACACAAAGAGCGCAGCTCGTAAGTGTTCAGAAAGGGTTTTGTGGGTGTTGGGTTGTAAAAATGGTGAATTAAGAATAGTATAGTTGGAAAAATAAAAGAACCTAGCAACCAGTGCTTAGGATTCGACTCGAAAAGGCAGCTCTAACAACAAACGCTCGCTGAAGAAAAGAAAGAGAGAGTGCGCCTGGGCGGTTATGGCCAGTTTTAAGGGAAATCGAATCGATCAGCGCTGCAGAATCGTGTTGGTTATTGCCGTGAGCGCATATTCCTGGTCAATTATTGGCTGAGAGGTGTGTTGCGCAGTGACGGGCTGCTTTGCTGGTCTCCCGCCAATGACCATCCCGGATTTGACGCTCGCGGTGAGACCGGGTGAGGGGAGATGATCGAATCAGCTCGGATCATGGCCTTCTGTTAGGGTGGTCGGGTGCGACCTGCAGTCGACCTGCAGAGTCCGGGATCTGGACAATGCCTGGTGTGCATGGCACCACATGTCCATGGGACGTCATATCGTGGAGTACGCCGAGGTGGAAGGGTGTTGACCGGGCTTGTTGGAAACGTTGGGTCAACGACAATCCATGTCGAAGCACAGCAAAACCTGGGAGTCAAGACACAAAGCTTCGTCTTGGTTGTTAGAATGCCCCGCGCACAGTCCGGGAATTGGCCGCGGGAGGGTTCTCGCGACCCCGCAAGATAAAGTGTCGGGACGTTGCCAACTCTGTCAGCATCGTCAAGTCTCGCGAGGTCAATGCAAAGTCCGGAACCGGACTGGCAGATTTACTGAGGCTCTTGCGCTATTCAAGGCCCGCGCAGCCGGGCTATCCAGGCCACGCGGGTCAAAATTCCCGGTGGTGGGGGTGATGATTGGCGTAGCGGTAATGCTCCGAAAGGTAGAAGACGTGTACAAATATGACCGGTCAAGGAATATGTCCGGGCTGACGCGCGGAATAGCATGAGTAGGAGTCTTGATAGAATCCCTGTCGTGGAGTGGACGTGTGCAGGGGAGAGATCGACTACAGTGCGATCCATGGTTGGTCTTCAGCCGGACCAACGTTCTATGGGAGCTTGACACTATATCCTCTCTCACGTAAATTCAAGAATTGAAGACCTACTCGACTTGTTCTTGTTAGTTCAATTTCTTGTACAACACTCGAGTCGGGTCATGTCCGACCGGCTTGCTATTGTTCATGCGCTCACAGATGCCCTTAGCTGCTTTCGTCCGGCACGTTCTACATTCCCTCGGTTTTATTAGATGAACGATATGAGTTATAGGAAGTTTGATTGAGTGATTTGAGGTCCTGTGGAGCTATAGTAGTAGGTCAATGGATTCGATGCAGACTTCCGTGACACACCCTTGAATACTGGGATCGGACACGTACTCTTACCCTTACACAGGCAGCTTCAGCTACTATGGAACATTGAATACAATAAAAGAATTCACTATGTATGACTATTTCTGTATCACCAGACGAAAGATGCTCTTAGATCCCCGACGCCGCAAAAGTCCAACGACGCATTTTTCAGCAAATCATTAAAATACAAAAAGATCACCGCACCGACACGCCAGACCGGTCGGTAAACATCCTCGCGGCAATGTTCATCGAGGCCAGCTCCTGGAACAAAAGCTTGGCGGCGTAGGGAATGTGCACCTGCGAGATCCGGTGCTTGTTGTTGCAGAGGCGGCACTCGAAGAGGCCCTTCTTCAATTTTCTGGAAGCAGTCAGTATGTGATTTCGTCATAGAAGAAAGTGGACTCACGCAATAGGGGTCATCAGACCGCAGTCGTCGCAAATATGCACGCGGAAAGGATCAGACACGTCGAACAGACGCTCCTTCAGGAAAGCACTGGCTCCGTGAGCGATCATGCAATCACGTTCCATCTCTCCGAAACGGAGACCACCGTCACGGGCACGACCTTCCACGGGCTGGCGGGTCAAGATCTGGGTTGGGCCACGGGCACGCGCGTGGATCTTGTCGTCGACCATATGGCGCAGACGCTGGTAGTAGGTCGGGCCGAGGAAAACCTGTGCCACCATCTTGCGGCCGGTATATCCGTTGTACATGACCTCGAATCCACGGGACTGGTAGCCGTGCTCGCGGAGCAGGCGGGAGACGGAATCGACTGTCACGTCGGTGAAGGGAGTGGCATCACCTTCGAATCCACGCAGGGAAGACACCTTACTCAATTGACACTCGATCAAGTGAGCAATTGTCATACGAGAGGGAATAGCGTGCGGGTTGATGATCAGATCGGGAACAATACCCTCACGAGTGAAGGGCATGTCCTCCTGTCGGTAGGTGATACCAATAGTACCCTTCTGACCGTGACGAGAAGCGAACTTGTCACCGATCTGGGGAATCTTGGTGGTACGCATGCGAACCTTGACGAACTTGAGTTCGTCACCACCAGTCGAGACCAACACCTGATCCACGATACCACTCTCTGTGCTACGGAGAGGCGTGGAAACATCAATTTTGGTGTGAGCCTTAGTGCGCTGTCCGAGCTCCTCGGCCTCGGGAGCCAAAGGTGCGGTCTTTCCGATAATAATATCCTCACCGGAAACACGGACACCTGGGGCAATGATACCGTCATCGTCCAGCTTGTCGTATGTACCCTTGCGCATACCAATGGTATCAGATCGCATTGGCTTCTCGAAGCGCTCCACAACTGTCAAGCCAACCATCTTCTCCGAGTCTGTGTATGTGCGGTAGAAGAGACTGCGGAACAGACCTCGATCGATACTGCTCTGGTTCATGATGACGGAATCTTCCTGGTTGTAACCAGAATAACAGGAGATGGCCACAATGGCGTTCTGACCGGCGGGCAATTCACGGAAACGTAAGAACTCCATGGACCGAGTTGTCGCGAGAGGCTTCTGAGGATAGTAAAGAATATTCATCATGGTCTCCATGCGCTGTGCAAAGTTCGTCAGGAACACACCCATGGCTTGTTTACCCATGGCAGATTGGTAGGTGTTACGAGGAGACTGGTTGTGATCGGGGAAAGGAATGATACTGGCACAGACACCGAGAATCATACTGGGATGAATCTCGCAATGTGTCCAAGTGTGTGCCCGCTGACTGAGAATGGAACGGACTCGCTTATTGGGGTCATCCGAATCAGTCTCTGGCAGCGCGTAGCCGGCCTGGAGCTGCTTGGAGATTTCCAAGTCTTCAGGCGTCATGACAATCATAATAGTCTCTTCTTCCTCGGCATCCACCAACTCCACAGCTCCGGATCGTACCAAACCCTCCCATCCGAAATAGCGCTCCCGGCGGTCTTCCGCATCCATGTTTGCAGGCAATTCTTTGTCCTGCTCGAGCTTTCGAATGTGCTCCTTGTTGAGAACCAAGGATCCAGCATTCTCACTCTTGGGGTCGTTGTCAATAGTGAAAAGAGGTCGACACACACGACCAGTATCCGTGAAAATCTTGAACTCTCGGTCACGAATATCACGGACCAAGCTGACCTCGTGAGAGATCATGTTTCGTCGGCGCAGGGACATCATGGTGGTGACAAGATGCGACGGATCGCGATGAATACCAACCCAGACACCATTGACGAAGACCTTGGTAGCGTTGGGTGTAACTTGAGGCTCAAACTCTTCGAGGACCTCCATGTTACGCTGGATCATGAAGTCGATGATGGGCTCGCTGGGCGTACCCACGGTAATGTAGCACATGAGTGCCAAGTTCTTGACAAGACCACAAGCTTGACCTTCAGGAGTTTCGGCAGGGCACACAAGACCCCAGTGGGTGTTGTGAAGCTGTCGCGGCTTGGCGATCTTTCCATCTCTGCCAATGGGTGTGTTGGTACGGCGCAAATGGGATAAGGTTGAGGCATAAGTGTATCGACTCAGCACTTGAGACACACCGGCCTTGGCGCTGGCCGCCTTCTTCTGCTCGCCCCAGTTACCCGTTGCTAGGGCGTACTTCAGACCACTTGTCAGGGTGGCGGCCTTGATACCCATATTCAAGTAGATCTCCCTGTTGGTCTCAACGCATCGCTGCACGTAGCGCTGCAGGTCACGAGTGACACGGGTGAACAAGACACGGAAGAGACCCGCCAAAAGGGGTCCAGCGAGATCCAGACGCTTCTTTCCGAAATGATCACGATCGTCAACATCGCGGCGACCGAGGGCACACTGAAGAAGACGGTGCACCATGTAACCAAGGAAGAAGGCCTTGCGGGTTTCACTGCCCTCGCTCTGTGAGATATGCGGCAACAACTCCTTCTGCATGATATCCCTGGCGTAGCGCACACGGCGCTCGTGGTTCAGGTTCGACTGAGAGGAACCACGCTTGGCAATGAAATCCAAGGCAACCTCACGGTCTTGAATGACGAAACCCTCCTCAATACACGGTTTCAGCATCTCCAACATCGGGGTATCGTTCTTATCATAGCAAATATGATTAAGAATGTCCTCGTCAGACACAACGCCCAAGGCACGGAAGACAACCACGATAGGGATGTCGGTCTTGACGTAGGGCAGAGTTGAACGGATGGTAGGGCCGAATCCACCCTTGGCGCTGTCACCCTTGGCGAAGAGCTTGAGCGCAAGCTGAGACAGAAGTCGCGAACCCTTCTCGACAGCACTTCGAATTTCAGCAACGTAAGGTGTCGGGCTCGGGGGAGCCTTCTTGAAGACCTGAACAATGTTTCCGGCACTTCGCTCTTGTGCGATCAACACCTTCTCACTTCCGTTGATAACGAAGTAACCACCAGAGTCGTAGGGGCACTCGTTCCAGGCGTAGAGGTCCTGCTCAGGCAAGTCCTTCAAGATACAGTATTTGGACTTGAGCATGATGGGCATCTTGCCAATGAACACAGGTTCCTCCTTCTGCTGCTCCATGGGAAGCTCCTTCTGCTCCCACTGGAGGTATGTGCCACGGGTCTTGGGATCTGCATCGAGATCGCCCTCTACGTCCTCAGGGTCGGCAACCAGGCGTTCTCGTCCTTCCATGATCTTTTTTGTGACGCCAAGGTAAAGGGGACTCGCGTAGGTGAGGTTTCGGAGACGCGCCTCTTGTGGCAACATGATTGTGGTCGCTCCATCACCTTCTGTGACGGATGGTCGCGAAAGCATGACGGTTCCGAATTTCAACTCGTAGCGGCGGACAACGATCGGCTCGACTTCGTCTTCGTTGGGGGGAGCGTTTGGTCGAGAACCACTTGTCCTTGTTCCTCTACCAGTTCTTGCATCGTTGAGGAAATGAATTCATCGAAGGAGTCGAGCTGCTGAGAGACGAGACCCTTGCTGTCGAAGAAAGAAGAGATCACGGTCCAGCAGTCTTCCGAGGTGATTCCCTCGTCGCCGTCGTCGTAAAATTCATCCTTGTATGCTTCGTCGTATTCAGCCATGGCGAAGGGTGTGTAGGATCCAAAGAGGAACCCGGGTACGAATGTGAAAGAAGAAGAGGCTCCTCAGGTAGCGCAAGGCGCGTCGGCTGCGGAAAGGCGTGAGAAATACCCGCGCTGCAACACCCGCCCGTCAGAGACTGGAGAATCCGTATCTGCAGTCTGCACAGGCAAGTGAGGGGCAACCTGAAACCTGAGGGGTCCGGTGGGATGTGAATGAAGCCCAGCGGTTGCAGGATGAAGGGACTGATCTCCAAAGGATCTTGATGCTTCGGCGCCATGAGGTGCGCTAGCCCGATGTGGTGGTCACGTGATGTGTCTGTGATGGATAAAGTCACGTGATGGTCTTGCGAAGTGAACGATCCAAGGTTGGAAATCAAGGAACCATCCAGAAAGTGAATATAGATGATTTTCAAAACTATGTTGTCCGTTTTCTGGCTGCCAATGTGCTTGTTTGGAGATCTTTTCAGGATTGCCTATCAAATGCGCGAGCGAGTCTAATATTGAGACGGGAATATATCTTGACGTGCGCATTTCTGTGTATACCGGTCGCCCACATGCTAAGCATTGTTGATTGACACACCTGTATTTCACAAAGTCTAAGGATTTCCAACGTAAACAATTAGAATTAGGCAATTTTAAATATTCGAAGATGGTGAAAATTTGCAGCCAGATAGTCTACCGTAGCACGATTACAAGAACTTCGTGATCCAGGACTTCGTTGACCAATATATTACATTGCTGGCTCCATTTGAGTTAATTACAAGAACTGCAACAAGGTGCTTAGCATGTCCTTGAAATCCTTCTGGCCTTGTTCTTCCCCTTCGAGTCCGTCGAGTTGTTCTACATGAGTCAGCGTTGAGCATCCTATATCGAGAATGTAACTTACCTTGCAAGGTACTCTTCACCAAAGACAGATCCTCATCCCGATCCGCCAGAAGCGAGACAACCTTTTTCTTAGCACCATCGTCCTCGGCAATAAGCCATGCAAGGATGACATCGATCGTCTGCAATGAGAAAAGACCAGCGTCAAATCGCCGCGACAACCATTCACCAGCCATGAGTTCCTGGTCCTCCGCCGAAAAGCCCTTGCCCTCCTTCGCAATAGCCTGCTCAACAGGCGATACGCGAGCAGCATATTCCCGTCGCAACTTGATAAGCTTCTCAATCTTCTCATAGTCCTTCTCCATGAACTTGGCCAGCATTCGAATCCGAGCAGCAGAACCACCAGGCAGAAGTCGAAGAAGCGAGGCAAAGATGCCCAAGAGATGTTCGATATTCTGAGACTCTTGCTGCAAGCTGTTAGCGGATGTACTGTGAGATATAGAATTGATATTACCTTTTTCATGAACATTCCGAAAACCGTTCTCAAGCCTGCGGCTTCGATCAATCTCTCACAAGCCGGGGCACCTCCGGCTCCACCGAATGCGTGATCGAGAACGCGGAGAGCACGTGGCTTGCTGAATTTGCCTTCTTTGAGCATGATTTGACCCAGTTCTATGCCCTCTGCTTCAATAAACTTTTGTTTCCCTAAGTCTTCGTCGACGAGGCACACCAAGGAGGCGAAAAGGTTCTCCACATACTCCTCCTCGTCTGAGTCCTTCTCAGGATCGCGTTTCCGGTATGCACTGAGGAGCTGGAGAATGATATCGATACCCTCAAGACCGGTGAACTTCTCCCGGTTCTTGGAGGAGGATTGCAGGAGTATTGCCAGGATCTCGGCGGCGTACTGCTTGTTCTGGCCTACGGGTGATTCTTTTTTTTGAATGCGGGATAAGATCCAAGGTAGGACCGTAGCGTCTTGCCCAATCTTCTCCGCGAGCGGGGTTTGAGAGGACAGGTTTTCCAGGACATCTGCATCGAATTAGCATTGAAGAAGAGGTGCTTGGCAACAAACCTACTTAGCACATAATAAACACCGGCACGATCGGTCTCTGAACTCTCGTCCAGACGACCGAGATTCTGTGACAAGAGTTCAATGAGATCGGCATCCATCTGGTATTGTTAGTATTGTATTCAAAATATGCGTCAGTAGCACTCACCATAGCATTGACTAAGCTATCCCATTGCTCCTGCTCAGCTTCCACATCTTCGTCAGTCAGCTCACTGATGATTTGGATGGTGTCAATCGCAATATCCGCATTCTCGTGCGATAATAGCGATATCAACGAGCCCACGCATCCCATCTTCGCGAACTCCTCATAAAGCTCGGGGTGTTCCGACAGAATCGATAGTCCTTTGATCTCGGAGTCCAAGTCGGCCTCGGATGCCATGAACCTAGCGCGGTCAGTCAGCCTCAAATAGATTGTATTCCAGCTGGCCGACGTACTTCTGCGGATCGCCCTCAAACTTTCCACGAAGCTCCGCGTTCTTAGAAATCTTTCTCTCGAAGTTAAGCGCAAACCGGCGCACCCAAGCGGCGTCGAACTTCTCGGGCTACAGTAAACCTTCCGTCAGTATGAGGCCTTTCCAAGCTTGTATAAAATACATACCACGGTCTCTTCCTCTTCATGTTGGTCGATGTATTGCATAGCATCGGCAGTCTTCTGTTCCATGCCTCCGCCGAAGAAGCGCCCTTCCTCGTCATCTGGTATATCCTCTTCGTCAAAGTCGGGCGGCAGCTCGGGACCAGCTTCCTCATCATCCTCCATCTCGTCCTCTACCATAGCTTCCTTGCCTTTCGACCTCACGTCGCCATTGGAGCCCAGCTTGGCCGCTTTGTATAGCTCATCTGGTCTCGTTAGTACGTTGCGGTGGGCGCATGCACGGGATGGGATGGACGTACTGGGGTCTTGGACGGGCTCGAACTTGCGCTTGGAACTTCCTGCCGTGGACGGTTTCTGGCTTGTCAGAATGCGTAGTTGATTGTGGTATCTGGGGACTTACCTTGAAGAGCTCGTCGACACTCGTCATGGCTGCGGCGTTTGTCTCTCCTGGAATAGTCGCGTCGCCCAGCGCCGTTTTAAAACTCCGCTTCAGAAGAAGAGAAAAATCGTCGAAGTGAGAAATAAAGACAATTCACGAAGCAGAAGTCGCATTGCCTGCGCGCAAAGATGGTACGGGTGACGCTGCACGCCAAGAACGCAGTGACGCCAAGCGGTGACCGGCCGCAGATTTCTCGATTCTCCGATCTTCAACATCACGTCTCTACCATCTATCTTACCAACCACTTTCTCATCAACCGCTACAATGGCCCCCAACCGTATCGTCGTTTCCAACAACGGTCGCCCCCAGAAGGGTTTCATGAGCACCGTCTACGATGAGGCTACCTCCCCCGAGAACACCACGATCGTCCGCAGCCTCCTGATCTTCGGTGTACGTCTATCCAACTCTTTCAAATGCATTGTCGTGAATCTAACATCTACTAGGCCGGTGTCGCGTTCCTCCACAGCAGCCTCGGCGAGTTCCTTCTTCCTCCGTAAGTCGCGCCTCCCAATACACACGCCGTTCCCAGCAACGGATGAACTGGAACTGATTCGATACAGCATGTAAAACGACTTCATCCGCCTCGAATCGACTCGAATTATTTCTCTGGAACATGTGAAGCATACTGGCGTCGGTCAAGGGAACATCTTGGATAGACACTTCTCGTTCGATGCTTTCGATATCTCTGTATAATAGTTTGGGCGTGTGTGCACGTGTGCATTGCGGCCTAGGTGGTTTGTTATGAATACCAGGATTTTTGACACTGTCTTTGAACTTCTGTCTTGTAGGACGATGATGTCCTGGGTCCTAGCATGGGGGAGAAGGGTCCTAGCCGGGCTACACATGGCGAACACGTACGGGCTACAGCGACAGATGGACAGACACGCGACTCCTAGGAGCATACAACTTACAGCCTCTGGGCTTTGTATAGCTCATGAATTTGTGGCCGTGTAGCTTGACACTGGTACACAAAGTTGACACGCGTGCACGTTGACAGCGACAGCGACAGCGACGACAGTATTCAAGGCCACACGCCACAAGAGGCTACGCTACAACTGAAGCGAGAGAAATGTAATGGGTCAAGCTACGCTACGCTACGGTACAAAGTAACAGAGAGACAAGACAGCCACCCTCTAAGTACAGCTACAATCTGCGAAGCATAAAGGTTTAAGACTACAATAACTTTGGAATCACCATGAGACTCGCACACTTTAGTGAGAGCCGTCAAAGGTGCCTTCAGAGTGGGGGAAAGGAAAGGAGGATGAGGTGCAGTTGGCAGTACGGGATGGAAACAAAGGGAGTGAGTTGAGTAGCCGTAAGGACCTGATGATCTCCTTAGGGGTTTCCTACCGATGACAGACCAACTCAAGGAAGGAGAGGAAGAACAGGAAGGAAAAGGTAAAGAGAGGGGGTTTCGATAGAAGACCTGCAGGCTTGGGTACCTGGTTTTCTTATATTTCCCAGTTAGTATACGATCTCGTTTGTCTTTAGCTGGGTGTTTCTTTGGGTGTGCGATTATGGATTTCAGTAGAACCGTTAAATTGTCACCAAGCGTTTGATTCTCAGACCAAGGGAGGATTGCTCAAGGCGCTTTACACTTCATCCTTTCTGTCCTCTATATCTTTTCTTCGGCGTCTATTCAAACCTCTTGCTAGACATGTTGGAATTCATTTTCAAGGTATCTTGTTAGACCTCTGTGGATATCTGCCTGGTTGGACATCTTCTTTGACAGAGCCCTGGTCGACTATTAAAAGCAACTTATGATATCTTGGCCCGGCTGTAGGAAATGGGCGTGAGCCATGGGTCCATGGTGACACTCTTGGGGCCAAAATTAATGCTCTAAAGTTAGAGTAAGTCTCCTATCCAGTGAATCAGCGATCGCGCATCTAACCCTTTAAATGCAGTATTCGTGAGAATATCGAAGCAGCATAAAATAGTAGTCCATACAAAAGAACATATCCTAGCGCATGAACAGATAAGATCCCCTTGAGAACCCTCATAAGGCTGAAAATTGTCCCTGGAGGTGGACGAACATACATGGACACCATATAGCAGGGCCAAACCTCTCAACCGACTTCTTCTGGGCAACCTCGATATTTAATCAAGTCGGAAAGGCGTATGTGCTAGCTTAGGATGAGGATACTCCCGCTAGGCCCAAAGGATGCTGGTAAGCCTCCGCAAATACCCCACACCCCAGACCGAACACCGCCTTTGGATGAGCCCGGATTCTCACTGCCGGTATTATGATCCGCTCTGTCGATCTCTAATCTGTGTGTCTAATCCACGTTCTGGTGTCGAGGCTCACTGTCATCAATCCTACCATCCCAAATGCTGGCCTCTGCATAGCCATGTCTTTCTCTCCTTCTAGCAACGCGCTGGCGCTGAAGCGCAAATTGCAGCAAGCGGAGCCTGCGGCCAAGCGACATCATCTCCAAGGCTACGACCCGCAGGCTCCATGGCTATCAGAGACGAAATCGCCAAATGGCTGGCGTACCCTTGGCAACCGGGCCGTTCAGAACTCGCTGCCCCTGGCTAATATGGTCTCTGCCGTTCAGGATCTGATCGACCCAGACTTTGATCCGTTGACTGCTCTGTTGGATGAGGAGCCCCGATTTTTGAAGCCGCTGCCAGATCGCATATGCCCGGAAGATCTGGAGTTCTTGCGTTTCCGCGGGGCGCTTTCGATCCCAGAGATTGGTCTGCGCAATGAGCTGCTGCGGTCATATGTTCAGTGGGTACACAGTTTCATGCCTGTGTTGAATCTGCAGGAGTTTTTGCGATGCGTGGCGGAGAATGATCCAAACGGAAACGTCAGCGTTCTTCTTTTCCAGGCGGTGATGTTTGTTGGGACGGCTTTTATCGACCTGAAGCACTTGCAAGCCGCGGGGTACTCGACGAGGAAAAGTGCGCGAAATGCCTTCTTCACTCGATTAAGAGTATGCTCTGATCTCTGTTCGTTTGACAACCAAATGCTAATCGCTCTCTAGCTTCTTTACTCCCTTGAATGTGAAGAGGATCGTATTGTTATTCTCCAAACGCTTTTATTGATGACCTACTGGTCCGACCCCGAAAACAGCCCGCAGCGAGACATATGGGACTGGATTGGAGTTTGCAATACGCAAGCACACTCTATCGGTCTAAATACAGACCCCGCCTCGATTGATTTGGATATTCGGACTCGACGATTACGAAGTCGCATCTGGTGGTGCTTGTACTCCCGAGACCGTCTGATCGCCATGGGGATGCGACGCCCGCTACAAGTGAACGAGGGGACAAGCAACGTACCAATGTTAAGGATGGAGGATTTTGACTTCGAGCCGTTTTGCTCTTCTGCAGTGGCTCTCTTCCGCTGTCGACAGCTAGAAGATGTGTCGCATCAGAAGCGCCTGGCAACCATGTTCATCGAGAAAGCGAAGCTTTGTCAGTGCATTGGTCGAGTACTATTTGCACAGTATGCACCATCACAGCGTCAGCTCGGAGCCACTGACCGCACCACTGTGACTTTGGTTCCTCGTCAAGCCTCCGAGTCTGAGTTCACACGATGCACTCAGAAACTGGACTCGTGGCTGAGTGGTCTTCCGAAAGATGCCCAGTTTATCCCGCAATCGAAAGACAACTTCCGCGATGGTGAGGATGTGCTACTTCTCCACGGCGCCATGCTTCGCATGCTCTTCCATGCGACTACAAGCGCACTGCACAGACCCTGGGCAGCTGCCTCGAAAGACCAGTCCAAATCTCGTGTTGAGATGCGCAATACGGCCCGCACTAAGATGCAAGACGCCGCCGCCGGCATTACACATATCATCCAAGGCCTCAACCAGCTTAACCTTACACGATTCCTCCCCCAATCCGGCGTGACAGTAATTCTCCCAGCCGCCGTCGCCCACCTCTCAAACTCCATGTCTGACAATCCCGCCATCCGTGAAAGCAGCATCTCCAACTTCCATCGCTGCATCCAAGTCCTCCACTGTCTAAAAGATATCTACCCAGCCGCCAACATCGAATTCGCCAACCTCGAAGCCGCAACCAAAGCCCAATCCGCCAACTGCAGCTCCAACACATTCTTCCAGATAATGCAATACAACTTCGCACCGCCCACACCACCCACAAACCCCAACCCCCGAAGACCAAGCGCAGACCCCATCGCCTCACCCCGTCCCCGAGCACAATCCCAATCCACAATACCCAACCATGAGCACCAACTCCACCGCAAACAAAGCACGCATGGAAGCCCCTCAAACTCAAACCCACCTCGCCGCTCCTTCCCAAACGACTTCGACGACCATTTCGCCGAAACAACATCCCCCGAAAACCCATTCAACTTCTTCACCATCGACTTCGACACTTTCCCCATTATGTCCAATACCACGGAGCCACCCCTCTCACCCTCACACGATCTAGATGGCATCGACTGGACACAGGCATTATTCCGAGGAAATCTCCCAGAGCTCGATAAGGATTCTCCTTTCGAGAGGAAAAACAACACGCAGCAGGAACAGGAGCAGGAGCAGGATCTCTTTGCTTTTGCCTTGAAGGATGATGATGGGATGAGGTCTGCCACGGCGCATCATGATATCACCGGTGATTTGGATCGCGATTTGGGGTTTCAGACTGGGGATGAGGGATTTTAGGTTAAGATTGGGTATACCACTTGATATTCGTGAAATGTACTTGTATTTGAAGGCTGAGCGTCGATGAAATTGTACAGTCTGAATCCATTCTATTCGACTGAAAATATAAAGGACTAAGAATAAGTAAAACGAGATAGATCTTTCTCACTATTGTCTACTTCTATTATGGATATCATGGCTCTCATCTGCTCTCTATCGATAAATCAGAGTGACCGCTTTTGAATTTTCACTCATACTCATACTCCGACAAGTCATGAATGGCGCAGACTACGCCTTCTGCGTCCAGCGGTTTTCCTCATCGCCCTGTTCCCAGTCTTGCTCCGTGTATCCAAGCGTCTTCTTAACCTCAGCGACCTTCTTGGAGTCGCCGGTATTCTTGCCCAGGTTATCACTCAGCTTGACAGCCGGGCTGCCATTCGTGGTTGAGATCTTAATGACGATGTTGAGGGGTTTGGACTTTTCGCCATTAGATTTGTTCTTGAAGTCATCTGTGAATGTTAGATATTACCGGACTTGAAATCGGGCGTGGGTTGGGACTCACTTGTGAAGAAGGTGCCCACGCCAAATGTAGGAGTAAGGTGTGCCTCCTCGGCAATTGTCTTGTATTCCAGACAATGCTCGATATCCAGCGAGTCGGAGAACACGACAACCTTCTTGTCTGTGATACCTTCGCTGTCGTAGAAGTCGCGCACCATCTTCACGAAATATGCCGGGTTGCCTGAGTCCTGGCGCACGCCGGTGTATACCTGGGCGTAGGTCTTGGTGGGGTGGCTGCCGCCGGTGGTGACAGGTGCGGCGATGGGGAATGGTGTGGTGGCCAGGCTCTGTGGTGAAGATTCCACTGTTGTATTTGTGCTAGATGGCACAACAGTAACCGCGCCCACGCTGGCGCTTGTGTACTCTGGGACGGGCTTGCGGAAGGCATCCAGGAAAGCGGGCGTGCCGAAAGTATCGGTGAGGGCGACGCCGAGGACCTGTTTCAGATTAGCGTGGTATTTGAATATGTGTGAAGTATAACATACCCCTTCTCCGAAACAGCCAAGCCAGTATCGCAAAGCCATCTCATTCGCATTCTTGTAGTCATCCGTAATGGCCGCGATGGCCATATACCACTCGTGCGCAACCGTTCCAACAGTATTGGTGTCGTATTTCATAGCAAAGTGAACATTGCTCGTTCCCGTCAATACACCTTTCCAACCCTTCTGCTTACCATGCTGAGCGGCACGCGTCAACCCCTTCATGACCAGGTCATGGGTGTGGTAATCTCGTCGACGGCGCGATCCAAACTCCGAAAAGACACATCCATTTTCCAGAAGCTCACAGCCCTTGCGGTAAGCCTTCTCTTCCTGGCACTCGTAGTCCCAGTCCTTATCCGAGAACATGAAATAGGCCTGGCTGGTCAATGCCAGCAGCGGGATCTCGTAGAGGATGGTGTCAAGCCACAGGCCCTTGATAACGTATGCCACATCACCCTCGTCATCGTCACTGCCTGTGTCTTGCGTCGGAGTGAACTTGATCTCGATTTGCTCGGAGGGCTTGAGCTGGAAGGTTTCAAGGAAGGTGAGATAGGCTTCGTTGAGGTAGGGGCATTTCTTGCGAAGCCAGTCGCGTTCTTCGGAGGTGACGCGAATATTGGAGAGTTCTATGCATATCAGCACGATTCGTATAGAGCTAGGGAGTGGAGTAATACATACTCTCCATCTGCTGCAGAAGCCATTTGTATGCCCCGCGTCGCAACTTCATTTGCGGGGTTCGATTCGTGAAGCCGTACGTCACATCTACTCGGGATTAGCTCCGTATGGGCCGAGTCTAAGATGCATTCTACTTACAGACATCTGGAAAGTACTTCAGAACGGCGCATTGCATCGTCAATTTGTAGAGATCAGTATCCAGAAGGGAGGAGATGCCCTCCGGCAGCGGGGTAGCTTTGTTGCTCATGGTGGTGGTCAACCGGAAGCACCGGTCTTTGGGCGAGGCGTCAATTAAAATACACTGAGGTCAAAAATGATGACGGTGGCTTCCGGCAGCTTGAGCGGGCGAAATGAGTCCGCTTTCAAGGATTATTTTTCCACGATTGTTAGACGGGGAGTCGGGACAAAGCCGAGATGATTGTTTGCACTGTTTGCACTGTGCGGGGAGGTATACTTGGATATCCCAGGTTTCTAGTATGATGCCTGCGTAGCTGTCTGGATGCGAGAATGCAAAGACGATTCATGCAGAATGATAGTCTATTAAGTAGTGGTCAATGGAATAGTCATTTGTGATAAACGCTCAGACCAGGAGATCAAATCGGCTTCGGACCGGGCTGGCCTTACCCCCGCCATGACGCGTGTCTTGCTCGGGGGGAGACGCCTAGATGGTTTAGATCAATATAATTTTACAGCCAAATTAAGAGTATAATATAAAATGGGTCTACTTACGCGGCCAGCCTTTTTCCTGTCTGAGTGTATTCAAAAGTCAGGTTTAAAGGACCTGAAGCATAAAATGTTCGAGGCTAAAAGATTCGGGTCTTAACATAATTAACTATACGTAACGGACTTTTCCTGGCGGACGGGGCTTTCCTATTCTAGCTGCCGCCGATTTGGTGAAGGCGCTCAGGCTCAAATGGGCTTATCATAAGCCATTCTTTGAGCCATCCATTCACTTTAAGCCCAACACAAGTTGAATTCTGGGGCAATCATAACATCCCACCTAGAATTTTTGCCTAGATCGATGCTACACCAAAGGATGTATATCTGACCCCTCCCTGTGATAAGATCGCCTTCGTCATTCCTCATCCATAAACTACGTAGTAGGATACAGTTTCAACTTTTGAATATATCAGTTTATCGGCATATGGATACTAGTTATTATTCTATAGAAATTCTGAAAGTGAGAATGAGGCATTAACAATATAATAGTGGGTTGGGCGACGACTATCGCTTATCGGCGATGAAGCTTTGAAAGCCTGTTTGCATGAATGTACTGAGAGAAATGATATCAAGAAATCGCCGCTCAACTTGAGGGTTTCCCTGCTGAACGTACTTACGGAGTAGTAAGCTCGCACCTTTTTTAACCTTCAAACACCTTCTATTAACTTCATTCAATATCATGTTCCATCTTTTTTGAATACGTTCTCATTCGAAATACCTGATACGTGCATCTCAAACCTTTCAATCATCTCCAATATCGTAGAGGCTGAGGTGACACCCTGACTCAGCAGAAATGGCTGACTCAGCGGGAATTCAACGTCGCCCGATCCTGCGATTGACCCTGCGCTCGAAGTCCGAGTACGAACAGAGCCCACAGACACTAGCTGCGGGGCCTATTACAGAAAAGAGTGGTTCAGAGTGGGAAGCCAGATCCTCGACCGAAAACACACGCAAATCCGACCGTGCTCTGTCTCGTGGCCGAGTTCCGCGATCACATCACCAGAAGGCGAAGCGTCCAAAGAAAGCCGTATCTCCTGTAATAATGGCGCACGGCGCGGAGGATTGCGCGACTGTGCTAGAGCAGTTCGTGCACGATGTGGCCAATTTGCCTCTTGAGATAAACCACTTGATGGAGGAAATTCAGGCCAAGGATAAGATCATACAGGAGTGCCGCGCCACCATCAACTTGCGCGACGGAAGTATCCAGAAGTTCATCAAACTCAACGGCAGCTTGACGCCGAATCCGAAAGAAGAGCAGTATAGCAAGACGGTCTTGCAGAATCTCGACCGCTGCGAGGCCCTCCAAAGCGAGAAGATCCAGCTTAGCGAGAAAGCATGCGTCCTTCTCGACCGACAGGTGAAGCGACTCGACGTGCGCATTCGCGACCTACAGAATGAAGGCCTCCTCTCAAATGAACCGCCGCTCCCTTCACTCTTCGACAAGAACAGCCAGACCTACCGCGACCCGCCGAAGGTTTTCTTTCCAGACTCCAACTCGAGCGAGTCTACCGCCTACTCTACACCTCTCAACCCGACCTCCGGCAACGCAAACCCTATCCTAGCTGCTGCCCAGCGCCTCGCTCAACAGTCAACCCCCCGCGCCGCAGGTCTCACTGCTCTGACAGCCCAACAAGCCGCCCGTAGCTCTGCGCCAGCTACACCAACCGGCTCCGCCGTCATGCATCTCCAACAAAGACAGCGCGAGTCCTCTGCTGGCGCAGTAGACAGCAAGCGCCGCCGTCTGAACGCCTCTCTAGGCACTCTCCCTGCAGCATCCTCAAACCTCCGCCAATCATCACTGGGACCCGGAACCCCCAAAGCCGGTACACCGGGCGTTAACCGCGCAGGAAGCGCTGGCCCACGCTCTACTGGCATCGTTAAGAAAGCGTTGACCAAGAAAGTCGCACCTCATCACCAAATCAAGAAGATCAAATCCTCAAACAAAGCCAGCAAGCGTTCCTCCAGTGGAAGCCGGCTCAAGAAGAAATCACCCAATGGCGACGGCGACGAAGATGACGATTCCATGCTCAGTAGTGCTGACATGTCGGACTCGGATAAGAGCGGCGCGGAGGATGACGAGGATATGGATGACGATGATGACGATGAGGAGGGTGCTGAGGATACTAAGGTTTACTGTACTTGTCGTACGGTTAGCCATGGGGATATGGTAGCCTGTGACAATGATAGTTGCCCGTATGAGTGGTTCCACTGGAAATGCGTGGGCTTGTCACGGGAACCGGTGGGGACGTGGTATTGTGATGAGTGCCGGAAGACGTTAGGGAAATAGTCTTGCATCTTGACTATTCCTATCTCCTTTTCTCTCTTGCTTTTGTCTTTTCTTTTCTCTCGCATTTCTATTTGTCTCTTATCTCGTGTGAGGCGTCGGCACGGCGTTGGTTCAGTTGATATACCCAGGCGAATATGACACTAAAGATTTTATATTACTCAAACCAACAACTACTTAGTCAATCTATAAACAATACTTACATCTCACATATTGCCGTTGCGGAAGCAAGCCTTATGCTTATAGATCCGATAGTGAGCGTGCGCTTCGGAAGCATCAGCCTCAGCCTCGAGAGGCTGAGTATCGGATCGGCTGACCTTCCAGCATTTCAACTAATCAAAGCCTTGAGTAGCTACCTCTTTCCGGAGGAACACTTGAAAGTACATGCCACAGTAGAGATCTGCCCATAGGGCCGTCAACCGACCAGGCGCAACAGGAAGCAACTCCAGCATCTACGACCGATTCAGATGGTGCGCTTAGCGCCAAAGTCCACAATGAATCTCCTCTCTAATCAAACCACCAGACTCTACCTCCGAAGTAAAATGTGTGGTTGTTGCTAGAGGGGACTGGTTGTGTGGAAGGGGTGGACTGAATGGTGGTGGAAGACTGATTCTGGGTCCATTACTTGGGCCGGTATTCCTCGTCATTTTTGCTTTCTACGCGACGATCAGGATTTTTATGCTTATCTTCTGGAAGAATGAGGGTTATATATGGACGTCGGGGAAGGGGCTGGCTCTTTTGGGTATTCTATCTTCTTGGTGTTGATTATGCCGGCCTCCTTCGAGTACAGTCCTCTCGAGGATTACAGGCTGTGCGTCTGAGTGGATGCACTTTCGTTATTCTTTACTATGGAGCAGTTTACGATCCAACGGGAACAGTCAGCCCAGACTGGACGGGAGCTTTTGGCTGATAACGATATTGTACGGTTCCTCTCTTTTCCATTTTTATACGGTTGAGTTCCATGGTAGATAGTGATACCAGTTGCAAAAAGTACAGTGTATTCATCTATCTGAGACACGTCTTCCAACATCTCATGCTTTTCGTGCTCACCTGAGTGTCACATTGTCTAACTTCCATATACGAGGTAGACATACAGCAACTGGGCAGCCAAAATCAAAAGTTACAACGCCATCGCTATGCACAAATCCCTTTTTGTGATCCTTCATTGTCCATGCAAACATGGGCATATTACATGCCAGTATCAGGTCGTAGGGAGACGAGAGGGTGAGAAACTCTCGTGACCCAGGCTTGGCGAAGTCCAGTTTCAAATCCCGCGCAGCGTTAGCATGCAAGGACGTTGAAACTTAAGCCAATGTACAATCAGAAGGCGAGGTTCTTCTCCATCCACGGATCGAAGTACTCGCAAGTTTCGGGGCTGATGGCGCCGCCGGGTGAGCATAGTCGGAAGCTGGGGCAGGGTCCGCAGGGAGAGTCAGTCATGCCATTGTTTTTTCCAGGTTCGTTGATTTGGATGGGCTCGTCGCCTTCGGCGGGCTTGCGAGATTGTTTTTCTTTGACGGCCTCGGGATTTTTGACGGATTTGTAGGCGGTACCGCTCTTGAGGTTCAGCTCGACGAGCTTCTTGTCGAAGCAGAGCATCTGGAGGAGTTGGATGATGCTCTCTTCACCCAGACGCACCGGGGTGATACCGGACTCGTTGACGGCGTTGGTGATCGTCTGCACGGTCGGGTAGCCCTCGTAGTTGAATGGATAGGGTATATAGGTCTTTTCGGTGGCTTCGGACTTGACCTCGGCCTTACCGGTGGCGGTCTTGATGCGTTTAGCGGTGCGACCGCGATCAGCCGGGACTTCGTACCAGCTCTTTCGGCTGACGGTGTACTCGATGTAGCCCGCAACACTATTAATGAAGTTGGCGTCGAGCACGCCGTCGGTGAACCAGGCTCCGCCCGTGATGTCTTCGCTTGGGGCTAGGCCTGCCAGCATGTACATCTTGCGGGTGGGGAACTTGACATTGTGCACGCTTTTAATGTAGTTCTTGCCCTCGAGCGACTTCAGGCAGCGATCGAGGATCGACTTGTGTAGGTTTGTGCGGGTTTGAATAGCACGCACCCAGATGCCGGATCGGGCGGTGGAGTGGATGACATTGTACACCAGGCCCTCGTCGGCGCTAAGGTTCTGGAGTTTGTCGGCATCTTCCCGGGAGATGAGCTTCCATGCGAGTCGCTCATTCTTGTCCTGGTGCAGTCGCAGTAATTTCTGATCGACTAGTTGCTGGGTGCACTTGAGGAGGAGTTGCGGGTCATTTTTGGGGATGATGTTGAGGCCCAGGAAGTCCGCCTGGTAGAAGAGGTGGTTGGTGTCGTAGGATTCCAGGCAGGCATCATAGAGCTGCGAGGCGAGCTCGCCGGTGTGAGGCTCGGCCATTGTTGGAGAAGGATTGGAGAGACTGTGTTAGGTCGAGAGGAGAGGATCATTGAAGGAGAGGAGAGGTCATGACCAACTCGGGCTGCAATAGCAGAGGTGAGAAGGTTAGAGAAGCATGGTCGGCTTTGTTCGTCGCCGTTGAGTCAGAAAATGAAGTCCGAGTGTGTTTTTTGGCGACTTTTTCGCAGCGGGGAGGCCGAAAGAGGTCTAGTGCGAGCGGAGCTTAAGTGTCACGCTTCGTCTGCCTCAGGCATCAATATGGTCTGCCGCGGAAATTTCGAGAAGCTCGCGGACGTCGGAGCTCATAACCTCATAACCTCAGCTCCTGTCTCATTGACTCTCACAATACCCCCTGTTGTTTTTGCATATTTTCATCCAACATGTCAGACGCTTTGAAGGCTGAAGGCAACAAGGCCTTTTCGGCCAAGGACTACCCTACTGCCATGTATGTTGCTACCCCACTTTATTCTGATGGTGATGTTAATGAGAGGCCAGTGAGAAATTCACCGAGGCTATTGCCGTCGATCCCGAGAACCACATCCTCTACTCCAACCGCTCTGCCGTCTATGCCGCCCAAGCCGATTACCAAAAAGCCCTGGAGGATGCCGAGAAGTCAATCAGCATCAAGCCGGACTGGTCAAAGAGCCAGCTCCGCAAGGGAGCTGCCTACCGCGGCATGCAAGACTGGTGTAAGTGAAGTAATACATGGTCGCTTGTTCTGTAGCTAACGAGCTGGTAGTGGCCGCTTATGATGCATACGAGGAGGCACTGAAGCTGGAGCCCGGCAATGCCCAGGCCAAGTCTGGTCTGGATGCTGTCCAGCGGGCCATCCAGGCTGAGGCTACGGCTGACGGTGTCCAGGGTGACCCCATGGGCGGTCTCGGTGGCATGTTCAATGACCCTGGCATGTACGAGAAGCTGGCGAACAACCCCAAGACTGCGCCTCTGCTAGCCGACCCCGAGTTCATGGCAAAGTTGAAGAAGATCCAATCAAACCCCAACAGCGTCGGCGAGGAGATCCGTGACCCTCGCTTCCTGCAGGTTATGAGCGTGCTTCTGGGTATCGATATGAGCTTCGGCCAGGATGGACCCTCCGGACAGGACTCGCCTATGCCCGATGCTAAGCCCGCGCCGCCCAAGAAGGCGCCTACCCCCGAGCCCGAGCCCGAGGACGAGGAGGTTGTTGCTAAGCGCAAGGCTCAGGAGGCCGGTGATGCTGAGAAGAAGATTGGAAACGACTTTTACAAGAAGAAGCAGTTCGACCAGGCTATCGAGCACTACGAAAAGGCTTGGGAATTGAACAAGGACGTCACCTACCTGAACAACGCTGGTGCTGCCAAGTTCGAGAAGGGCGACTACCAGGGTGCCATTGAGGTCTGCCAGAAGGCCGTCGATGAGGCCCGTGACCTGCGTGCCGACTTCAAGATCGTTGCCAAGTCCTACGCTCGTATTGGTAGCGCCTACGAGAAGATGGGCGACCTCACCAAGGCCATCGAGTCCTACAACAAGTCGCTCATGGAGCACCGCACACCCGACGCCCTGGCTAAGTTGCGTAACGCGGAGAAGATCAAGGACAAGGCCGAGAAGGATGCGTACCTCGACCCTGAGGAAGCCGAGAAGGCCCGCATGCTCGGTCAGGAGAAGTATAAGGAGGCCGACTGGCCCGGTGCCGTGGAAGCCTTCACCGAGATGATCAAGCGCGCGCCCAACGACCCCCGCGGCTACTCCAACCGTGCCGCAGCTCTTATCAAGCTTATGACCTTCCCCGGTGCCGTGCAGGACTGCGACGAGGCTATCAAGCGCGACCCCAAGTTCTTCCGCGCGTACATGCGCAAGGGCCAGGCTCTGATCGCGATGAAGGAGTACAACCGCGCTCTGGACACCTTCACTGAGGCCGCGGAGCAGGACGACGGCACCAACGCCCGCGAGATCGAGCAGCAACAGCAGAAGTGTCTGGATGCGCAGTTCAGCGCCCGCGCTGGCGAGACTGAGCAGCAGACCATGGAGCGCATCCAAAATGACCCCGAGGTGAGTCGACCCGATTGAATTCGTATCAATGATGTACTAACAGCTTTCAGATCATGTCTGTCCTTCAAGATCCCGTCATGCAGAGCATTTTGCAGCAGGCCAAGAGCGACCCGGCTGCGCTGCAGGAGCACATGAAGAACCCGCAGGTGCGGATCAAGATCCAGAAGCTGATGGCTGCTGGAGTGATCCGTCTGGGCCGGTAAGGGCTCACTTTACGAAATTGAAGACGTGACGAGCTGTGCAGCAGATTCTGTTTCTTAAAATATTGAGTTTAGCATGTATCTCATTTGATGATATGACTTTCAATGTTAGTGTGTCCCGTCCACAGGTGTAGATCTCAAGTGCGTAGTTCACTCGGGCCTCTTAGGTTTGCATTTGTACCTCGTAGATCAGAGGTCAATGTGTAGATACAAGAGTATAAATTATCTCATAAGGGTTTGAAAATTTACCTAAGCACATAGACGAGCACAATACTCCGTGCATAGATACCTTTGTGTACACCTAGGTTGTCCCTAGATGCAATGACACAAGTCCGCCTTCCTTGGAAGTTACCACGGGAAAGGGCTTCCATGGCCAACCCTTCACAGACA